TCATTATGTACCTACAATGTGCTAGACACCAGGTTAGCTCAGTTGGTAATCTGCACAGCTTGGACTCCAGTCCAGTCCTTTAACACCGAATTTAGGGCTCTTTCCGTTATACCTGTCTGTCTACGTGAATTTAGTGGTCTAGACATTGGATTTAAATGAGACTGAGCTCCTCACTGAATAAAATGTTTTGAGAAATTAATTTGATTTGACTCTGCCTTTTTTCCTTAATAATAATAGCAATAGTCACAATAAAACTGAAAAAGAAATTCTCCATGAAGAAATTCCCTTTCCCAGGACCCCAGCTCAGCAGAAAGAAGCCACTGATTGGCTTGAAACTGATCATCTGCTTTGTTGGTTATCCCTGCCTGCTTGCCCAGTAATAATCATTTCCCACTTAGTCTTTCCCGTTCTTCCTCTAGCTCAAGCCCATGTCATTACGGAATCAAAGATTTCTGTCTGGAGCTGCTGAATTTTTCCTCAGTGATGCTCAACGGGATGAAAGAGTTTGCCCTGAATGTGACCAATGTCCAGAGCCTCTCACCCCAGCATCATCTGCAGGTGATCCTGGCAGAAGGGAGAGACTATGGGATGGGTGGAATGGTTAGAATGGGAGGGGGAGACTATTTCTGGAGCCTGAAGCTACTTGTTCCATGCATTCTCCAGATGAACTTTAGTAATCACTCACACCCAGTCAAAGACCCCAGATTCCTTCCCATCTCCCTCCCTCTCCCCAGTTCCACTTACTGCAAGCTGGGCTGACACAGTACACAGAAGGGACCCAGAGATTGGAGGAACCCGTGTCAAAGATGACAGTGAAATTCTGTGGTGGGGAACCAATGGAGATGACTCCAAAGTATTCCATCTGAGAAAATGGGGAAAGTAGGAGTTGTGTGTATGAGCAAAGAGAGGGTGTTTTTTCCAAAGGCCTAAGTGAGGACAGAAGAAGTCAGGCCGTATTAAAATACAAATATTGCTCCTCCCCTCTAAAAAAACAGTTTATTTCAAAGTCATTTTTCAATAATATCATTAAAACATTACAGAGTCCACCAGAATATCATGAAATCCTGACATAAAGTTGTTGGCTGTTAGAACATTTGTGATATGGTTCCTAGGAAGTTAAGGGCACGTGGTAATAATGTCACCTACTTTTGTGGATTCATGGAACTGATTCATAAATGAGGTGGGCTGTAGGCCTGCATCAGACTTTACATAGTCTGGGTGACAAAAATGCTGCAAAGCTTAGAAAGGTTTTGCGCAGTATCAAAAAGGCAGAAAAAAGGCCTCTAAGAAACCAAATAATGATGCCTTTCTCCTGTCTAACAGTTTCCAGAAAGCTTATGTGTACATTATCCCATTTGATCCTCACAATACTCTTATGAGGGAGGCAGGGCAAGCCTTATTATTCCCATTTGACAGATGAGGAAATGGAGGCTTTGAGAGACAAGATGCCTTGCTCAGAGTCATAAGCAAATGAGGTCAGAACAAGGACTGGAATTTAGGGTTTTTTTGTTTGGGACACCTCTGTGTCCATTGGTTCTATCTTCTACCCCGCTCCCTTCTCTCTACTAGAGTTCAAAACCACCCACCCACTCCTTAGAAACCTTTTATCTGAGCTCTAAATAGTTTTGTCAGAGAAAGATCTGCTTAGCTGGAGCAGGGCAGAAAAGACAGCCATTATGCATGCATTTGGGGTTATTCATCTGGATGGATCTAGGGACCAAAGGTCGCTAGAATTCAGGTCCTGAAATTTACTGTTTCTTTGCACTACCATCTGGTCCCTGAACCCTTCAGTCATGCCTTCCTCTTTCGCTTCCCCCCATCCCTCTTCTCCTTACGTCCAGGTAGTTGATGAGGGGCTCATTAGCACTCTGGTCTTGGGAGCAGGAATCAATGAACTGGACCATATCCAACTTGTGAGTCTCCCAAAATTGGGAAAGCTGGCCCCTTTCCCTCAGGATTTTCCGTAGGGATTTGTGTCTCCTCAAGGGCACCCTGAATGATAAAGAACCCCACCCAACCCTTGGGTGAGAAGTGTTGATAGCATTTCAACCCTTATGTCTCCCAGCATTCAACCTCTATCCTATGCCATCCCAACCAGTCCAATTTCTAGGCCCAGGGTTCTTAACTCGAGGTTCACAGATCGCTCCCCCAACCAAGGGTCCATGCATAGATTTCAGAGGTCTATGAACTTGGATGGGAAAAAATTACACTTTTAATTTTACTAAATCTTTAACTGAAATTTATCATTTTCCTTCAATGATGAATGTAGAAAAGCAAACCCTTATTCTGAGAAAGGGTCTATAGCCTTCACTGAACTTCCAAGAGGATTGATGTTGCACAAAAAGGTTAAGAAACTAGACTGAATAATAGCCCAAGAGACAGGGGACCTGACAAAGAAGAAACTTGATTTCCACTTGACTCATGAAACTTTCTGCTTGCTTCCTTTGCCTTAGTCTCTCCTCCTATAAAAATGAGACTTTTACACTCAAGGTATACCTATAAGGTATAGGTAAAATGCTGTGAGAGCATTCATTCATTCATTCATTCATTCATTCATTTATTCTCTTCCTTCCTTTCTTCTTCCCTTTTTCTTCCTTCCTTCCTTCCTTTCTCTCCTCCTTTATCTTCCTTTCTGTCTTTCTTCCTTCTGTCCTTCCTCATTTCTTTCTCTCTTTTCCTCCTTTTTTTCTTCCTTCCTTCCTTCCTTCCTTTATTAAAAACTACTACGTGCAAAGCACTATTTTAGGTACTAAGGATACAAAGAAAAAAAAAACCGGTTCCTGCCCTTAAGGAGCTTGGGTTCTACTGGAGATCTTATAACAAAAGGAAAGAACTGGAATGTCTCCAGACTTGCAAGAGCTAAAATCAATTCAGCAAACATTTATTAGGTGCTTGCTCTATGCAAGCCACTAGGCTGGGGATACAAAGGCGAAAACAGAAGTAGTCCCGCCCTTGAGGAAGTTCTATTCTACTAGAATGACTAATTTAATTATTTAAAAGTGAAAGTCTGACCAATTTTCTATATTTAAGGAAGGCAGAGAACTCCCTAAGACAAAGACTGCAGACTAATTGGCTTTTAAGGTTTGCAGATCAAAATCCCATGCAGCTTCTTGGTGAGGCCATAAGTACTTTGAGCTATAAATTGCTGAAGAATTTCCTGGAATCTCAGAGTTCATAAATGAAATAGGTTTTACATGATTGCACATATATAACCTATATCAAATTGCTGACCCTCTTACAGATGGGGGAGAGGAGGGAGAAAAGGAAAAAATTTGAAACTCAAGGTTTTTAAATCAATGTTAAAACTTGTCTTTACAGGTAATTAGGGAAAAGAAAGATTATAAAAAAGACTCTCAGAGTTGGAAGGGAACATCAGAGGTCAAATTTGCAACCTCTACCTGAAGCAGGAATTCTATTTACAGTATTTTCAACAAGCCGTCATCTGGCCTTTGCCTAAAGACATGCAGTGAGCAGGAACTCACTTCCTCCAGAGGTATTTCCCACCAACTACTTAAGAAAAGGATCATCTTATTTGCCTGAAAGGCTAAACCTGGAGAGGGAGGAGGATGGTTAAGTTGACCATTAGAGAACCCACTGGTTATTTCAGGCATAGGATGGAAGGGACCTTAGATATCATCTAAGCTGACCCTCACCCTCCCATTTTACAAATGACAAGACTGAGGCTTGAAGAAGCTGACTTGACCAAGGTCACACAGGTCATACAGTGACAGAGCCAGAATTTAGACTCAGGTTCTCTGACTCTAAAACCATTGCTCTTTCCACCAAAGCACTCTACCTCCTGCTCTAGATAACGTGACCCATAAGATGACCTCTCTTCGGCCAGGCTTTTATGAAAATTTCCTCATCACCATTTCCCTACCAGTCTTCCCTTCTAAGGGAAGTCAAGAGTTTGTGGGCCCTCTATCTGTCTCACCTAAATAGAGGGCCAAAGCAGCAGGCTCACCTGAGTACCCCTTGAACCAATCCCAGGACAAGCAGCAATTGCAGTGAAAGAAGTAAAGTTTTCATCTTGGTCCCCCTGGCTCTGACTCTACCACTCTCTCAATGGCTTCTCGGAATCCCTCCTTTCTGTTCTCACATGGGGCAGTAGAAAAGCAAGTTTTGCCTCGCTCAGGCAAGGCCAACGCAACCCAGATTTGAGGAACTGGTGATAAGGCCCCCAAAAGTCAATAGCAGTGGATAAAAGGTAAACAGAGGGCATGTGTAATAGGGCGGTCCCACTTTCAGCCACGGCTCAGTTACTTCCCTGAATGGGAAGGGCATGATTGGAATGATAGAGGACTCCATTTACCCAGGTTTGGGGTCTATGTGTTTTTATATCAAGAGTGGACCGTTGGCCCACTTCCAGATACTGGGAGGTTACTTGACCAAAATGAGGGGTTTTTGTGATGGGAATAGCAGAGTCTTGGGCACCATACTACATGGGCCCTACTTGTACCTGAAGACCTTGCCAGGTTGCAAAAGAAAGGAGACAGAAATGCAAACCTTTGCCATTGCTTGTCACAAACATGGGAGAGGAACTCAGCAGGTCTAGAACCAAAATTGGCACAATTGTTGACCTGGGAAGAACATGGTATAGATGTCGTTGTTGAATCATTTCAGTTGTGTCTGACTCTTTGTGACTTCATTTTGGGGTTTTCTTGGGAAACACACTAGAGTGGTTTGCCATTTCTTTTTCTAGTTCATTTTACAGATGAGGAACTGAGACAGAGTTAAGTGACTTACCCAGGGTCACACAGCTAGTAAATGTCTGAGGCCAGATTTGAACACAGGAAGATGAGTCTTCCTGACTCCACACCTGGTACTCTATCCTCTGCATGACCTGAGCAGTATAGTGTAGTGGGAAGAGCCCTAAGCTGGGAGCCAGGACCTTTGAGTTTGGGTCCTGGTTATGTTAATAATAATAATTGACATTTATATAACATAGACTATCTCATTGATCCTTACAACAATCCTATGAGGTAATAAATACCAGTATTGTTGTTACTATTTTACAGATGAGTAAACTCAAGGGGTTAAGTGACTTATTAGTCTATCTATCAATATCCATCTATCTATATATCCATCATCTATCCATCTACCAATATCTATCCATCCATCAATATTTATCTATTGTCTATCAATATTACCCATCTATCACTATCTATCCATCTATCTACCTATCCATCCATCATCTATCCATCCATCCATTCATCCATCCATCTATCTATCTATCTACCTACCTATCTATCTCTAACAGGATTGAGATTTCATAAGTGTAGGTAACTCCTAACAAGGAGGTTGGCAACTATTCTTCCATTTGTATTCTTAGGGAGCGACTAGAATACTTAGAGATTCAGTGACTTATCTAGGGTGACCAAGCCAGGATGTATCAAAGGCAGGATTTGAACCCAAGTTTTCTTAACACTGAGGCCAGCTTGTTATCTTGTGTACCACACTACTTCTCGCCATGCTATTACTAGCTCTCAATTTGATTAAGCTTATTTCAACAAACATTTATTAAATACCTCCTAGTGCAAAACACATTGTTAGGTACTGGGGATACAAAGAAAAAAAAAACCAAGAACAGTCTCTATCCTCCAGAAGCTTGCATTCTATGGGGTCATACAAATGGAAAAAACAAGTAAATATAAGATAATTGGAGGAAAGAGAGAACATTTATAACAAAGGGGATCAGGAAAGGTTTCCTGGAGGAGGTGAGATCTGAGCTGGACTTTGAAGGAATCTAAGGATTCTAAATGGTAGAGATAAGGAGGGAAGGCATTCCAGGCAGGGAGGACAACCTGTACAAACGCATGACAGTGGGAGATGAAAGACTGAATTTGAGAAAAAACAGGTACGCTGGTATTTCCGTACATAGATGTGTAAAGGAAAATAACATGAAGTAAATCCAGAAAGGTTGTCTAGAGGGAGATTGGGAAGGGCTTTACATGCCAAACCTAGGAGGTTTTATTTTATCTTACAGAAGACAGGGAGTCACCGAAGATTCTTGAACAAGGTAGTGACAGGGTCAGACCCGTGCATTAGAAATACCCTGTAAAGTGAGAGGTCCTCAAAGGCCGCTTTCCAGCTCCAAGTCTGTGATCTATGTCCATTCAGTTGTTAGTGTTTCCTCTGAGGAAGGGGTATTCTTGTGTATCCTCCCTAGGTAACATGTGCTCTTGCGAGGTTGAGAAGGTTCTTGGGGCTAGAATTCTCCTAACACCAAACAAGGGTAGCAGCACTCCCAAGATCTTGGGCTAAAGGAACAGAAAGTCCCAGGAGGTTTAGCTGGACCAAGTCCAGCTCCGACCCCGTGTGGACTTCTCCCTGACTCTTTTCCTTACGGATCTCGCTAATCAAGACTATGGGGTTAATTGACCATTGGGATTCATAGTCTCTCTCTGTCTGTCTCTCTGTCTCTCTGTCTGGCTCTCTCTCTGTCTCTTTCTCTCTCTTTCTCCCTGTGTCTCTTCTCTGTCTTTCTCTTTCTGTCTTTGCCTTTCTCTCTGCCTGTTTCTGTTTCGTTGTCTCTCTCTCTCTGTGTCTTTCTGCCTCTGTCTATCTCTCTGTCTCTCTTTCTCTCTTCCTCTGTCTGTCTCTCTCCCTCTGTCTCTTCTCTGTTTCTCTCTGTCTTTGTCTCTGTCTCTCTGCCTCTATCTGTGTCTTTCTCTTTCTCCCTGTCTCTCTCTCTGCCTCTCCATTTCTCTGTCTCCATCTGTCTCTATCTATTTCTTTCTCTCTGTCTCTCTGCCTGTCTCTGTGTCTGTCTGTCCATCTGTCTGTCTCTGTCTCTGTCTGTTTCTCCTCCATTTCTCTCTGTCTTTGTCTCTCTCTCTGCCTCTTATTTGTCTCTGTCTCTAGGCCTCTATCTCTGTGTTTCTCTCTCTCTCTCTGTCTCTCTCTCCCTGCCTCTCCATTTCTGTCTCTGTCTATCTGTATCTATTTTTCTCTGTCTCTCTGCCTGTCTGTGTGCGTCTCTGTGTGTGTGTGTGTGTGTGTGTGTGTTTGTCTGTCTCTCTCTCTCTCCCCTCTCTCTAGCTGTCTCTCTGTTTCTGTCTCTCTGCTGGTTCCTAGGTCTTCTAGTCTCTGTGGATATCTGTTTCCATGAGCTTCCCATTACTTAGGAGAAGGAGCCTAGGCCATTGTAATAAACCATTACCTGGTTGTAAAACTGGCACCAGTATTGGAGTAAGAAGCCCAAACTTCCAGTCATGGCCATGACATTTACCAACCCGTGTAATTCTGAACAAAGCATTTTATTTCTCCGTGCTTCAGTTTCCTCATCTGCAAAATAAAGATAATCATGTTCACACTGCTTACCTCACAGGGTATTTTAAAGAAAATCTTTGTAAACCTTTAAAGATTATGTGAATGTGAGCTACTTTTTTTTTAAATTAAGGTTCAGGTTTAATTTTTTAAAAATGTTCAATGTTCTAATTTCTTTCCATTCAAAACATATAGGACATATGTGTTAGTTCTAGTCAAATTGGTTTCCTAGGTACTGCCTTGGGGGAAAAAAATCAAACTTGTTCGATTTATGTTTCAGTGAAATCCTAACAGCAACAATAATAACAACAATAGCAATGTTTGGATTTTGTTCATTCAGTAAGTGTGATTCACCATTAGGTATAGCTAAGTATGGATTAAAGGAGTCTTTGCACATCATTCTTGGCCAAAGGAGACTGTGAAATCTTTTCTTCTCACTCCAAAAGGCAACGTTAGGGGGATATGTGGCTGGTCTATGATGCTTTCCTTTCCCTGGCCAACTGTCCTACCATGGATGCTCAGGGAAAAACTCCAAGTAATTGCAATAATTGCAGCTCAGTGGCACAGTGGATTGAGTGCTGGGACTGGAATCAGGAAGACTCCTCTTTCTGAGTTCAAATCTGGCCTCAGACGCTTACTAGCTGTGTGACCCTGGGCAAGTCACTTAACTGTTTACCTCAGTTTCCTCATTTGTAAAATGAACTGGAGAAGGAAATGGCAAATCACTCTAGTATCTTTGCCAAGAAAACCCCAAATGGGGTCATGAAGAGTCAGACATGACTGAAAAATGACTGAACAACAACAAAAAATTTCAATAACCCCACACAGTTGCTCCTAGAGAGACCCACAGGTGGAAGAGATAGCTTGGGGAGAGGGTATGGGAGCTCTGTTTTGATTCATCCTCTAGGCCTGGGGGTGGTGCACTATTGTAGTGCTGAGGAGGGAATTCATGGAACTGTGAAGTCATGATGACCGAACCTGGTGTTGGGAATCACCACATGCTTGGAACACATGGCCGAAAGTCTGTTTCTGATCACTGGGCAAACTTCTGTGAGGCCAGGGGTGATGTCAGTGTGGAGGTCGACTGGTGCCATCTGCTGGAGAATTATTCACAGACTGACGCCACTCAGGATGGCAAACTGCAGAAAACCCATTGTTGTTGGCCCTTCTTTCTTGAAGAAGACCAATGACATCACAAGGGTGATGTCCTGACGTGAGTGAATTGGATTTAAATGAGGCAGAGCTGTGCAAAGCCAACAGCCTCACTCTCTCTTCCAGAGCCATCAGAGTCCAGTGGTAAGACAAAAGTCAAAATGACAGGTGATGGCTCAGGAGAACCTTAGAAGATGTGTACTGAGGCCTCACACTCAAAGTACTATCCACTCCAAGTGCAGATCAACCAATCAGTCAAGAAACATTTATTCCGTGCCTACTCTGTGCTAGGGAGGCACTGTGCTAAGCACTGAGAATACAAAAAGAGGCAAAAGACAAGTCCCTACCCTCAAGGAGTTTATAATCTAAAGAGTACGGATGTGAATATAGGTCACTGGAGAAGAGATGGTATTATTTCTGTGAGTTCTGCTGTTTTCTCTGCACGGCCTATGTACTTGTCCATCTCTTGAGCCTTGTGAACCATAAGCTTGCAAAGGTAATAGTTGGCAACACAACTATTGTATGGGGGTGGTATAAAATAATCAAGTTCCCAGATTATTTAGATGGAGGGGAATAAATCAGGAAGCTGAGAAATGTCCTGAACTGTA